AGCCTTAATAAATAGAAATAGGCTATGATGATGGTAATTTTTGAATCTGTTCCAAAACAGTCAACTATTACAAAACAGCCTTTAAACCACCAATATTAAAAGAAGAAACTAGAGTATCGTTCATCCAACCTAGCTGCTAGCATGGACGTAAGAAAATGCCTTGCTGAGTACAATTTTCTTTGTCCACTGCAATACAAACAAGAGTAATTGCTTCTATTTCAGCAATTATCAAAGTGTTTTAATCTGTAGCAATATAATTTTAGGCATTTTCAGATGAGTCAAATTATTTGGATTCTTTTTTGGTGATAATTCCAAGTGTGATATGGGAGTCAGACTACTTTTTTTGAGTTTACTGGATTGACCAATACCTACAGTCCTTTGAAATATTCAATATCCAGCAGGCAGCTCCTGTACAATTAGGATGATATCTTACTGGACTACCTAGGCAGTGTTAGGTCATGGAACATTGTAAAAGTAAGTGACTTTCATCTTTTCAGTCAGATGGTGTTCAGTTGGCGGAGTTGTGAACAGAGGAGAACATATTGTTTGATTGCATGCCCTTTGGTCAGTGGTAGACAAATTGCAGATGCAAGGCTTTTATAGCCCAACCCACTCTTTTTAGTGTAGGAGGAAGCTAAAGATGATCACTTGTTCCTTTAATTTTCCTGCTTTTCCTTCTTGAAACAAAATCTGAGAACAATATATTATTCCCCTTCTGCTCCAAAGTGGTGCTGGGGAACTTGCCACAAATAGGAACTTGGCCTAGGGCCTACGGCAAGATTCCCAGGAGCATAAAAGGCTCTATTCTACTCAGCATTGAATAGAACAATTCAGTCCTTAGTGATGGTCAGAAATATCTTTACACTATTACATGTAGTAGATCACAGGTATCAAACTCAATTTCACTGAGGGCCTCACCAGGGTTGTGTTTGACCTTGAGGGGGAGGCGAGTGGGCGTGGGCAGGGTGGCAGGGCCAGCTTGATGTCACTTATGTCTGGGGCACCTGTGGTGGCCCATATACAATCCTCCTGAGCTCCATTTTCACTGGCAGAGGCACCGTGGACCAGTCCATTGTTTCCAAGATGGCCCCATGGGCCATATCTAAGCATCCTTCAGGCCAGATTTTGCCTGCCAGCCTTGAGTTTGACCCCTCTGTAGTAGACCATTTGTCACTGTCCTCTGCTTGGCAACAATTATCCATGTCCTGGCCATGTCTTATTTAGACTTTTGTTTTACAATGTATTCTGTATAGAGCTCTAGATCACTGACTAGTTTGAAATGAGGCAACTCAGATATTAATCAGTACATAGTGTTGAAATAACTTTTTATGAAAATGTTGAAAGATCTGCAACGCTTGTTTTCAAGGTCAGTTGAAGATCATGGCTTTTTGTTTTTACTTTTTACAGCTTCTCCTCTTAGATCTGCCCTCTCAAGGATATCATGTTCATGTAGTTATATCCCTCAAATACAGGGAAAGGCTTTCTTCTGTGTGTTCTCAGATTATGGAATTGCCTTCATCTATAATTATGTGTACATAGTTTTAATTTAATGCTTTAAATTGTGTTCTGTATTTTATTGTTCAAAGTTAATGTACTTATATAGTATACTGCTACTGCTTTTACTTTGTTAGTTGTTTTACATTTCTGTCAGATACTTTTGCAGAAAGGTTATTTTAAAAAGAAGATTTTGGTAACTAACCATATAATGTTAAGTAACCTTTTGGATTTTTACATAAATGTGAAAATATATTCTGGAGCTACTCATGCAAGAACTCTGGGGAACAGCTTGTCTCTGCTTAGCTGTACTCATGCCTTGGGAATGATGTTTTTTGCTAATTACCATTCCAGAACATGAATCAATTTCTGAACTGTATATGTGCCCTATAAACATGTTTGTTTCTTATCACTGGATTGAAGAAGATTTCAGGGGATCATGCTAACCCAGGGAAAACGAATTATGAGCTCAGCTATATGGTGTCAGATTTCCCAAACTAAACCAACAACTCAGCTATAAAACATTTAGAAGGCCAAATAATAATGATGAGAAAAAATATTAGAAGAAAAACTATAGACTCTAAGCAGGGACAGTTTGCCAAACCCTCTAAGGGTAACTCCACAGAATGAAACTATGTTCAGAGAATACGAACCATGGTGGTACAGTGGTTAGGCTGCAGGCTACTTCTTCTGTCTGCCAGCTACCTGCAATTTAGCAGTTCAAATCTCACTAGGCTCATGGTTGACTCAGCCTTCCATCCTTCCGAGGTGGGTAAAATAAGGACCCAAATTGTTGAGGGCAATAGGCTGACTCTGTAAACGGCTTAGAAAGGGCTGAACCTGTAAAGCACTGTAAAGTGATATATAAATCTAAGTACTATGGCTTTTCCTATAGTGCTTCTTTGTTCTTTCAAAACCTAATTGTCTGTGTAGTCCTATCCCATTACTTCATAATTACACTATAATTGCTTTACTGACTCACTAATATAATGTGCAGTGTGTGTATGTATGTGTGCCTTCACTAATGTGCTCTCTGTGTGTGTGCCTATCAAGTCATTGTTGACACCCAGTGACTGCCTGAACTAGTCCCTGTAGTTTTCTTGCCAAGTTTTCAGAAGAGGTTTGCTGTTGTCTCTTTCTAGAACATAGAAAGAGTGACTGGCCCAAGCTGACTTTGTGCCTAAGGCAGAAGTAGAACTCATGGTGTCTCCCCTTCTAGCCACTACAGTAAACTGGCCCTGTATAATCAAATATATTTCTATAATGAATTATATGTGTTATGTATTGAATATATATAGTTGTATTGACACACAGTGACTGCCTGAACTAGTCCCTGCTAAAATGAAATGACCCCAACTGTTAACTCCAACTGTTTTGGAGGGAAACTTAGAACATTCATATTTTGGCGGGCTTTTTCAAGTATTATGATTGTTAAAGCCCTGTGGGCCCAGAGTATAAATTACAGGCATGTGCCTGCTGTTCCTCAGTTCCAGTTTTGAGTCGATAAATGCTGTTGCAGCTATGCTGGTCTGCTTCCTGCCTACTGAAGCACAATAATATGTATACTTTATTCCACAAAAATCTAAAAGGGACTGTTCTAGCACTGTCCATAATCCTATTGATGATTTAATATAAATGTGTCCTGGTGTCCGGTTCAAACATACCTTCAAAATTATTCTATGGGATTTAAAATTATTGTTACATATTTTCTCTTGTAAAAAGTTTAATATCAGGAGGTCTTTCATTCCATATAAAAGTAAAGCACAATACGATATCCAAATGTAACATATGTTCCATTATATTTATCATGTTCCATTTATTTTATTCAGATTATAACATGTTAAAATCCATTATTTACTTTAATAATTTCTACTACGCATTGAACACATTTTTTCTTACAGCTTTTCCCCTAATTACAGCCTATCGTAAAATACATAGGGATCATTTGAAATATTTGTATATAAAGACCAGCAATAATTAATTCACATCTTATTGCTCTGTTTCCTGTAGTATCACCAGGGTGAATGGATAGCCAGAGAACACGAAATTACAAAGGCAACGTTTTTGAATCTGACAGTGGTTGAATGCTCAATTCCTCTTCTGAACTTCACAGGAACAGAAAATCTTCATTTCAAGTTTGATATCGAACCATATGCAAGATGGCAAGTGAAAGTAGGAATTGCTTGTGGTACTAGTAAATAATTTTTTAATTATTTTTATACTTTGGAAGCAAAGTTAGCCTTTTCTGCTAATCCCCGTACAAGAAAGGCAGAAACCAAAGATTTTTAGTATTGACTAATATTAAGTAAAGAAACAAAGGAATACCAGAAATTATAGCATTGCATTAATTTTATTCTCAAAGTGCAGAATACAGTTAGTATTATTAGTAATTATTCCCAGCTGGTATAATAGATGAATCAATTGCTGATAACTGCATTTTATTTCTAGGGACACAGGTTGAAATCTTGATTGGGCCATAATTGATGAATTGTTTAAGCTTCTATTGTGCATCTGGGAATTCTCCTATGTTCCAAATTGAATGCAAGACAGCAGTGCTTGGTGTCCATAGGACTTACTGGGAATTCCTGCCACGATTCAGTGACTGAATCAAGTCAATCCAGGGTCACCCACATGACACTCACAGGCATCATGCTACTCATAATAATCTCAGCTGTGATTTGTAATTTGATGATCAAAGCATTTCTTCAAAAGGAGTTCATTTTAGAATTACACTTTTTTAATTCCCTGACCTCATGGAAAAATCATGTGATACTACCTGGAAAGCTAATGATTTCTGGTATAGATTTAGGCTGACCACATAGGGGCTTGAAAAATAGATATTTGTATATGTGAGTGCAATATACTGAACTTTGCTGATAATAAGCTTGTACCTACATGACCACCCACGTAATTGTGTCACAAAAAATGACTGTCAAGTGGCAAGATAATGTTTAAAGGCAAAGTGTCTTTAGAAGTGCTATTTTTGTTTGCTTCTTATAAATTTCAATACTGAGTTTTGTAACTCTCATCTAAATAAGAGGTAATCTAAATATGTCTGTTCAGAAAAGTGCCACTGAACTCAAAGGGGCTCATTATGTGTTTAGATAAAAATAAAATAGCTTTTGATGTAATTATAGAAGTATATTTCAAAGCTGCATTTCAATTTTCTCTCAGAGAAAGAAGAGTGAAATGCTGTGAGAACTAGAACAAGATAGAAAGTTTCACACAGCAGTTACAGTGTATGCAGACTGAAGTATTCTTGTATTTCTATTTTTGTCAGTATTTCATTTTAGCACTAACATTCAGACAATTACAACATTGTTAGATAGGCTCCAAAGCTGTGTGGTTGTGTTGTATCAATATGTAATGTTATCTAAAACAACTCAACAGAATAGAATAGAATAGAATAGAATAGAATAGAATAGAATAGAATAGAATAGAATAGAATAGAATAGAATAGAATACTTTATTAGCCAAGTGTGATTGGACACACAAGGAATTTGTTTTGGTGTAAATACTCTCAGTATACATAAAGAAAAGGTACATTCATTAAGAATCAAGAATCATATAGTTCAACACTTAATGATAGGGTACAATCAACAATCAAATCATACTAGGAAACAGTCAATATAAATTGTAAGGATACAAGCAACAAAGTTACAGTCCTACAATCACAAGTGGGAGGGGATGGGTGATAAGGAGTGATGAGAAGATTAACAGTAATAGTAGTGTACACTTTGTAAATAGTTGAACAGTGTTGAGGGAATTATTTGTTTAGCAGAGTGATGGCTTTTGTGAAAAAAAACTGTTCTTGTGTCTAGTTGTTCTGGTATGCAGAGCTCCATAGCATCGTTTTGAGGAAAGGAGTTGAAACAGTTTATGTCCGGGATGTGAGGGGTCTGTAAATATTTTCACAGCCCTCTTTTTGACTCATGCAGTATAAGGTCCTCAATTGAAGGCAGGTGGGTAGTAATTGTTTTTTCTGCAGTCCTAATTATCCTCTGAAGTCTGTGTCTGTCCTGTTGGGTTGCAGAACCAAACCAGACAGTTATTGAGGTGCAGATGATAGACTCAATAAATCCTCTGCAGAACTGTATCAGCAGCTCCTTGGGCAGTTTGAGCTTTCTGAGATGGCTCAGAAAGAACATTCAGCATTCCTTATTTATTTTGGCTTCAACACTGTGAAAGTCCTTGCTGTACTTTAAAAATCCTATTTCTGCTTTTATTTATAACTTTCCACCTCCATTAATAAGTTGATGAGTACAGGATCCAAGACTGACCTACCTACCAGATATCTCGCTTCAGTTTGTTGAAGATCCATTGATCTTCAACAATTTTTGAACCATGTTGTATTGACGTAGATATTGTATCACCTACCCTGCATTGGACTACTTTGCTAATGAGAATGTCATAGGATATTTCACTAGACCTTCAGCAATTGTTTTCTATACATTTGGATGCAATTCACCTGGATTAAATTTGATCTTATTTAAAATATAAATCCCTTAACTGTGTGTCTTTTCACAAATATCTGGCAAACAACAACCATCTCACTGGAAATTATTGATGATGATGATGATGATGATGATGATGATGATGATGATGATAATAGATTTTTAAAGCAAGTTCCATCCTTTTGAGCAGCTTTTCCCATTTGTTTCTCTTGCAAAAATGCAGGTCTACCCATTGTTTCTTAGTCTCATCTATGTTGTTAGGAGGATATATGAGAATATTAGTGAAAGGTTATGCATATTATCTTGAATTATAGGAAAGGAAATAGGTAAATATTTATATACACACACACATACACACAAGTATATATTACATAATCAACAAATAAAAACAGTTAAGATGTGTATTTCTTATTATGTCTCTTAGCTTTCAAAGCTATACCAATCCATTTTTGGACCTACATTGTTATAAAATAAAACAAACTTAAAAACACAAAGAACAGCAAAGAAAAAAAAATGAGTGTCATTTGAATATCTTATTTCAAATAGGCTCCTGGTATTCTACCCATTATTTATGTTCATTGGTTTGATCATTAGAGCTGCACTGAGAAAATAATAGTCTTGAGGGTGTTGGTTAAAGAAAGAAATTGAGGAAAAAATTGCATTAAGAATGATCGGTCTGCTTAACAGCTGAATGTTAAGCTAATATTCATTTCAAGTTTGATTTGCTTGGGATTACAACCTGTTCTTCATGTTAGATATTTGCAATACTTCCATCACTTTTATACTGACATTACCTTGGACCTTGACTTCTGTATTAGAGACCAACTCTTATCAAGGGCAGAATATAGGGCTTCATTCCAAGTAGCCCCTAGCCAGGATTTAAATTTCCTACATATAATCCCATTGTGTTCTAAAATTCAATGCAATGCCAACTGAATGTATTATGTACTAATAAATTGAGTTGCAATTGTACAACTAGATGGACTTGCTGGGAGTTTTAATCCCTCTACCTTCTGACAGCTCTAATTAAACATCTTGCCTCTTAGCCTATTGATTAGGGGAAAGGAAAGGAATTACGTGGTGAGAGTCTGAAGCAAACAGACATTTTTCATACTGTAAGCCTATTTTTCTGACAATATGCTTCTGAAGTGCAACTTATCTTGTCTGGCAACAATCACCTGGGGTAGACTGAGACAATGCAGAACAGTCTAAAGTTTTATTTAGAAACAACTGATTTCATTGCACATACAAATTGGCCACAGTATGAAACCATAGATAAATCTAAGAGTAAAATATATCATGGTTAACTGTGTTATATCATAGCACAGTTAAAAGGATTACATAAAACATTTGTAATGATTAAAGCAATTGATTCTCCTCCTGCTGCTCATCAATCTTCTGTTAAATTCAAAAGAGAGAAACTTGCATTACTTCCACAATATCGGCAAGATGTTTATTGATACCAGCAGAATTGTCCAACCTTTGACTGTTTCGTCATAGATAAAATCATCCTAACAAAATGTATCAAAACCAGGATAATTTTGGATGAATATTTGTGACTTAACACAGATAAATTCTACAAAACCTAGGGGAAATATTGCTTCATGCAACACATATTCAGCAAAGGCAACTTCATGCTCCAGTTAATAGGCCACAGTGAGATCTAGCAAAATGAGTGAGTTGATGACAATAATCTGCATTCTGTGACACACATGGAAAGGTCATATCACATCTGTTTTATCACTTGTGTTTGTCACACAACACAATCTACTTACAGCAAGAGAAATGAAGTCATACAGCTATTTCTGGCAGATTTAATTCAAGCAAAAACGAACAAAAAGTTTGAGCTATTCACTGGATGAGCAGAAATGATAGTTAAAACATAATTTAGGTGGTTGTTCATAGCTGTCTATGTGTCCTGTGAAAAACAGGTTCCAATTCAAAAGTTCATTTTCTATTTGCAACTGCATTTGGTCTCCTCCCATTTTTGTACAATGCAAAAGGCTTGGCTTATCTTCCATAATTACTAAAACAGTCAGGCTACATGAAATTCACATAGTGGCAAAAGTATATTTGAAATTTAAAAAAAATGCTGACATTATCTATTTTTGGAAAGCTGGTGTGCACATTCAGAACAACATTCTATATTCCAAGTACAAATTTAATCCTTTGTATCTATTTTACAATAGATATAGTGATAGAATATGGAATATATTGCCATTGAATGTAAAATACATTATGCAGCTTAAAATGCAATTCTACCTTTCATGTCAAAATCTGAGTTTGATATCCCCATCTGTTTTCACAAGAGGCAAACAAGAAAAGCCTACCTAATAAAGTTCATTGCTTATAATAATAATACCATTACTATCATTATATATTTGAACAAAAGAGCAAATGATGACATGAGATAGTGGGGGGAAATGTAAGGGGAAAAGAGACAGGGGTGTGGGGGTGGACTTAAAAGAGGGATCAGCCTTGAATCTCAAAGTAGTCACAAGTGAGCTAAGATCAACTGTTAGGAATGTAAGCTATCTGACAGCCATTTGGGTTGGACAATATATAAACCAGGATAGACATTACTGTCTCTTTAAGAGAATCCTAAAAGTGTAATTGGGTGTGGTTTCTCAAATGGCCATAAGATGGAGGCGGAAACCTGGGTTGTCTTAGTCTCAGAAGAGAGAAGTCTCAGTGAGTCTCTTTTTTCCTTCTGTTGGAGAGTATTGCCATTCCTCCATTTTCCCTAATTGACTGCTATTCCTAGATTTAATGTAAGTCTGATACCGAACTGTTTATGATACTGGACTTTGTTATTGGATTATCCCTGGACTAAAAACTGACTGATCTTATCTGTGAATGACTTTGCTTGTTTGAACTTTGCTTAAAAGTTTCTGGAAGTAAAAACCTACATTTACTGTTACAGTGTATCTGTGTGCTGTGTGTGTATTATTCAAACACTTCTCTCACTACGTCTCCCTTTATGCACTCATTCTCCTAACAGGGAATTACCTCAACATCAACTCCCCTTGAATTCATTTGACACTTATCTAACTCCTAGCAGGTGCAAACTGTTAGTTGAGAATATTCCTGTGTACAGGCATGTGGAACAATAAATTAATTTAATAGGACATTCACTTGTGGACCTGATCTTTCATGCCTAACAAAGAATTTATCAATGCATGTGGTTAAATATTTTGGAACAAATACAACTTTGAAAATTAACTTACATAATTGACCTATTATAGTTTGAATCCTGTGCCAAGTACAGAATGATCTTTTTTTTTCCTTGTATCTACTATTCTGTCTCCAGTTAAATGTATTCTTCCTCTATCTATAGAAAACACATGTAAGAGAAACTTCTTTTACAGAATGTTTGCTCAAGTTGTGACATTTTATGAATGAATTAATATCTCAGGAATAGAAATTTATCTTGAGTGGAATAGAGGACACAATCTACCCAACAGGATTGTCTTGCTTTGAAGCAATCTCAATGAAATGCTGTTGACATCCATAAAATTTCTCTTGAGTAAATTTTTTATGGACCACAGTCAGTTTGGAGCAGGATTTATTGTTCAAAATTGTGTCTATTTGAGTAAAAAAAAATTACAGGAACAGATTTAACAAAGGACACAATTATCAGAAACCCCAGATATGATCTGAGAAAAAAAAAGATTTTGGTAATAAATGAATGGCTTTTCAGTGTGCAGCATCCAGTGATTTATTAGCTTGCTGGAAAGTAACTCACAAGTGGTTTAATTTATCTTCTTGGGAGACATTTAGTTCAGGGGTATATTTAGAATGTACAGACAATGTCTACATGGAACTGGATCACACAAAATGATATATTTTTGTGTTTTCTTTTTTCTTTTTTAGATTTCTAATGATGGATTCCAGTATAGCAATTCAAAAGTTCTGACCTTGTATGATGGACTCTGTCAGGATTGCAAATCCAATCAAAATGGGCTTTGCAAATTAAAGGTAATTTCAAAACACTTAGAGGTGTAGCAGTGAACATCCATCTTCTTCTTAACCCTCCAGCTTCCTAAAGTGAATGATGTGACTAGACAAGTCTCAGGGAACCAGATTTGTTTATTGTTCAGCTATATATATGTGTGTGTGTGTACGTGTGTGTGTACGTGTATATGTATATATATGTTTATATACACATACACATGTGCCCACGCACACACATGATATACATATACATACACACACACACTCACACACACACACATATGGTATTTAGGTTTCTTCAGGTATTTTCCCACATTTTAATATTTGTGCTTTTATTATAGCGACGTTTTGGCAGAATCTCATCTGCCATCCTCAGGGTTGTGTATTGGGTTCTTTTTAATCTTGTGTGTTAGACTTGGCAGCCATTTTTTGTTTGAATTTGGTGCTGGCTTTCTGCTTTATTTGAATGGTTTTTTCCTCATCCTGATTGGCTGGGAGTCTAGGTCTGTTTTTATTGGTCTTTGAGTTGCTGATTGGTTGGCAACATTGTGTTTTGTGCATTGGGGTTTCTTAGTGCAGCTTGGTTTCTTATGAATGGCCGTTAATTATTATAATTATTAGCTTCCTAATAAATAATTATCAGCCATTCACAAGAAACCAAGCTGCACTAAGAAACCCCAATGCACAAAACACAATGTTGCCAACCAATCAAGAACACAGCAACTCAAAGACCAATAAAAACAGTCCTAGACTGCCAGCCAATCAGGATGAGGAAAAAAACCATTCAAATAAAGCAGAAAGCCAGCACCAAATTCAAATAAAAAATGGCTGCCAAGCCTAACACACAAGATTAAAAAGAACCCAATACACAAACCTGAGGATGGCAGATGAGATTCTGCCGAAACGTTGCTATAATAAAAGCACAAATATTAAGACGTGGGAAAATACCCGAAGAAACCTAAATACCATACATATAAATACCCGCAAAAACATAAGAAAAAACACACACACACACACACACACACACACATTCCACTTCTTTACATCAGTAGCAGAAAAAACTACACATCATATACAAGCCTGTTTTTCAAAGTGTATTACTTAATGTCCATACAAAATGTAGCAGTTATGTGCTGAAAATGGAAGTTAATAGGAATGAAAAAATAATGAAAGTTCTGAGATTATCTTTTATGTGAAATAAAAAGTTTTTATTGACTTCTTAACTTTTGCTGGGAAGGCGTTATCAAGCAGCTTTTTTCTTTTATAATACATGGTGACAGAGTCCCAATAGTTAGCTCAGATTTACTGGCAATGTTCTAATTATTGCTTCTATAGCTATTGCCTTTGAGTATACTATACATGCAAGTTTGGCTAGATTTGCTTCTCTCAGAACTGCCCTACACTGATTTTTCTGTATTAAAAGGGCTACCATAATTTAATTTGAAACTAAGAGTAGAATGTGGTGTTAACATTACATGCCTATCTTTAGATTTGCAAAGTTCAGTGGTTTAGCTACTATAGTCTAGCCAGAAGTTTAGCTGACACAGAGTTTGTTCTTGAACTAATTTACCTTAAGGCAGGAATCCTTTCATTTCAAAAAAAGCAATGGCTGCATCTACCAATCATTTTATGATTGGTAGGTCATAATTGCCCTACCGATCAAAAATGTATGGGGACCATTTTGAAGCCAGATACATTCATGAAAAAAAAATATATATGATGCTGAAACCTTTTCAATTACTCCCTTTTTAACATGTAAATGACCAGGTCAGGTGAGGCAGGATCTGGCAGGTACCCAAGTATTATGTAGGTACTTTGGCACACTTACTTGCTACACTGGGAATACAGATGTAGAAAATTTCCTACGTGTATTGTCTGTGGCTGCTTAATGTACTTCATAATATATTCTCAGTAATCATGGAAGCTACCCAGAGTCAGCTTACAGGGGAGATGGGTGGCATAAAAATTTAATATTTTTTTAAAAAATGGAAAGTCTCTTGGATTTATTAGAAACAAAGAACCCTGGATCAAATAATGATCCTTTAAGACACAAGTGTCAAACTAGCAGCATCACATTGCCGTCATGTGATGTTTCATGATGTTTTTTCCCCTTTGCAGAGCTGGGATGGGCGTGGCCTGTGCATGACACATCCAGCCCATGGGCCGCCAGTTTGACACCTTTGCAGGAAATAACAACTTAGGAAGACAGCTGTAAAGAATCAAAAAGAACATTTCTCAGTTAGAAGCATATCATATTGTTTGAACTAACATACTGTCCGTAACAATTATTAAACTCAAGATCTCAGACTACTGTAGAATTACAGTCCTCTCTGCCCATCCCAACCCCTAGTTTGTTTAAATGAGTCAAAATGTACAATTTTTTTTTTCCTTTATCAAGGACTTTGAGTAGAGAAAGATATCAATACTATGGCTTTTATGTTTCAATTACTTGATAAATATATTTTTGTAATTAATATACAATTAAGTACGATGTTATAACCAAAATAATCTTAATTTCATTTAAAGAGAAATCAAAGAAAATAATGAGAAAATTGTATATTTTTATTTCAACTTTTTTCTTTTAACCTTCTAAGTTGGAGGAAAAAAAATTAAGATGGTTGAGAAATCACATAGAATCCCTACCACCACTTCCCTCTGATTCATTGGATGAGGTCCATTTGCACTGGCCATGACAAGGACACAAAACCAAAAAAGGCCCTTTTAGGCCATGTACAGGCATTTTGAAGATATTTACCTGACATGTTCACAGCCTTGAGTTATTTGTAAAAATAATAAAAGCAGATTAATCAATCAATCAATCAATCAAAAACACTGGAAACCCAGAAGCCAATCAATTCCTGAGTAAGGAAAACCAGGCATGGATAATAGGCATGAAGCTAAGATTGCTAGAAATAAATATTATATACTATTTCAAGTGACTAACAGCTCATTTTTGTTTTTATTCCTGGCAGGAAAATACATGCAAAATAGATGGCTTGTGCCATGCAAAGGGTGAGCCTAGTCTCACCAGCTCTTGTCTTTTCTGTGAGCCATCACTTTTCAAATTTACTTGGTCTATCAATGAAAGTAAGTCTTATAAAGTCTTTGGGTCTTATAAAATCAGGTGTTATTTATTATCAAAGTGCATTCTTTGAGTGATTGAGTATATTCTTGATTTGGACAAAGTGTATATCCAGGCTGCAAAATTATTATCTTTGGAGAAGGACATCCTGATTTCTGCAAAGCCAAGCAGTTTAGACCTTTGTCATTCTATAGAGGTGTTCATTTTCTAATATGACTATTATGAGACTCTATTCTATTAATCACTCTTTTGCCAGAGAGGCAAAATGGATTCCAAGCTCCAGATATCTTCTCAAAAAATATTGGGCTTTAGCAATAGCAATAAGGCTTATATACTGCTTCACAGTGCCTTTACAGCCCTCTCTTAGCTGTTTATAAGAGTGCCCCGAACAATCTGGATCCCCATTTTACCGACCTTGGAAAGATGGAACACTGAGTCTACCTTGAGCCTGGTGAGATTCGAACTGCCAAATTTCAGGCAAACGGCAGGCAGAAGAAGTAGCTGCAGTACTTGCACCCTAACCTCTATGCCACCATGGGACTTTAGTGACAAACAGGGCTATTTCTATTATACCCACAATTTAGGAGCAGTCCTACTTGATCTCCTGGATCATATCATGGGGCTGGTGGTAGAAAAGTCAAGGTTTTTAACACTGGGATATATTAGCTGCCATGTCCTGGGAATGGAGGCAGACTGTAGGCCTGTCCTTGGGTTCTTTTCTCCTCTATTCTCTTTTTTTGTTGATTGGATTGATTCGGTAAAAGTGTTAAAAGCCATTTGTTGGAATAGATGCAGCTGGTGCTTGTTTATTGACTGTTTACCATTACAATGGTAATGTAAAGGTTTCCGTTTATAACCTTTGCAGGTTTATAAAGCAAAGCAAAGCTGAAGAAAGATAATATACTCAGTTAATGGTTTCATTTAGCAACTGCTTTGCTTAAGGGCCAAGTTGCTACTCCCAATTTTGGATGCTAAGTAAGAATTGCCTGTGTAGAAAATTAGGAGCCTTGTGACATGGAAGCCCCTAGTTGATTTATGATAGATAGTAAGAGGAAACGATTACAGAGCTGGAGACCCACTGCCAGATTGCAAATGCAAACCTCTCAAGATTGGTAAAAATACTCAATCCATCAGTCTATGCCTTGCTGATACAGAAAGCAAGAACTACACATTCAGTAAAACATACAGTATTTAATGCAGCCTTAGTTCAGTGCAGTTCTTGCTTCCTTGATCTTTAAAGCTAGTCTAGTGATTAATGCAGAATTTTTGAAACTACCTGAGAAATGTCCAAGCCTCATTTATAGTGAATTAAATAAGACAACCACTTTGAATGATTCAGGATGCTACTTCTCGGATTTCTTGCCACCTTGACTGTGTTGCCAGTAGATTAACCTTTTCTGTACTGTTTACTGTTTCTGCTCTCTTGTTTCTTTTGAAGCCTCCCACAATCATTCTGAAGACTGTCAGGAGCTCAGTTTTGGTAGGCCAAGAGAGATGTAGTCTTCTAGGAGTCTGTGAGGAGACTGGGAAAGGAATGGAAAGGATGGCAGCAAGCAAGTCAGTAGACAGCCTATCTCATAAAAAGCAAATTAGCCTGAGGGTGAGGATGAGTGAGAAATGTGGGGAAATTTGTTTCGAAGTATTCAAACGGAGTCTACCTCATAAAACTAGCTATAAATGAGAAAGTCTGGAAAAATCCTAGTTTATATTCCAAGACTCTGAATTTATTCAGAACATTAAATTTTACCTTTCTGAATTCTGCAGTTTTGGTTCCTCATTTTTACAGCTTGACAAATAGGGAAATATTGGGCTACATCCCTTGTTCCAATGGGAAAATGCAATCTCTCTTCCTCCAACATTGGAGGGGGAGGGGCTGATCCTGGTGACTGATTTATGTGACCTTGTCATCAAAATGCTAAAGGTAAACAAAGGTCCATCAGTAATAAAAATATGTAAGATACAGTTTGGTAGTGGATGGGCAGCAGAACCTGGCATGTATTATCAAACATGGCTGAACAAGGTCACCAATGTGGCCTTCATAGAAATTTGCTCTTCTAAGTCCTTAGTGCCAGGGTCAGGGATGAGCAGGGCCTGGAGAAGCAATGTACAAGTATGAGTTCAAATCTAGGAGGGAAAGCATCTACACTTCTCTTATGTTGGATGGATGCTTTTGGGGTGGCGAATATCTTTATGGGAAGGCGGTTGCTGATAAATTTTCCACCAAACACTACAGTTATTTTGCATAAAATTTTGTTGAGAAACTTGCTCAATTACCTGGAAGTTTTGCCCCTTCATTGGCAGAGTCCATGCTGGTGACTTGCCATGTTAATTGAGATTCTTTTTGGCTTAATCAGAATCTGATGAAGTAAACAAGGCAATTACTAACATGTTGTCTCACGTGTTGTTAAGCATGTGCATAGGATCCAAAGGGGCATGGTTGGCTGGATCCTGGAGATGGCCAATGGTTCATCTTGAGAAGGGATGTTTCCTGAAGCTATAGTGCAGGGGTGTCAAACTTATGTTACCATGGTATCATCACATGATGTATCATGCCTTGCCCCCCCCCTTCACTAAATCATGTATGGGTGTGGCCAGCACATGATCCATCTGGCCCATGAGTTTGACAGCCCCGCTCTAGTCTAGTGCACACCATTTCTAAGAGATATTCTTTGAATTCAGCTGTATTGGTACCTGGAAACTGTGAGGATCTGAATGGATCCCAGCATGCTCAGCTGAAATCCTTGTAAAATGGAGTTGCTGGTTGGCGGAGAGAGAAATTTGGTTCTGGTTTTACTTCTTGGTGGCTTACTTTCCTCTAAAAGACCTGATCTTTAACAGCTGACCATAATTTACTGTATAAAATCAACTTCCATCACTTCAAAAATCACACAATATAGTAATGTTCATCAATTATCAGTAAATTAAAGGGTTCCCCCCCCCAACTCAGCAAACTGTTAATTTATTTTCAGGACAGTTTATTTTGATTCTTCTTTTAAAAAAAGTTTATTCACATGGTACATTTCCAGCAGAAAAGCACAACCTAAAATGTAGATTTAAACTCACTGAAGTTCTTGTAAGATTATGACTGTAGAACTGGCCTTCCATTTGTTGTATTTTAAATTGCAGTTTAACATTCACCACAGCCACCCCACTCAAATTCAGATGTTAATCACTTTCTGCAATATGAAAGTAAGATGAGAGGTTTTTTTCCCCCCACCAGAAAAACCTGTTGATGCATTTCCACTCATATTAGATAATCACTTGAGGGGCTTATTTCAACTCTGTAATTTCTTTACAGGTTTTGTTGATTAGAAAAGGGAGAGAGAATGAAAAAAAAATTACAGCTTTTCTGAATAAAAGCTCACTCACTGTAAATGTATTAATTTTATCAGATGTGTTTAACCCCTTAAGTATAGACGGAGCTCCTCCAAATTACTAGCTGGAATTGTTAAATTGCTTGTCATTTGCAATAAAACATTTACAGGTTTTCTTAAATAAAAGAGTATTCCCTAGTGTAACACCCCTCTAATTTTGGTTGGTTTTTTTGTTTAATTTAGACAACCTGCCACCTGTGTTTCTGGCTCCAACCAATCAGCTTCTAACTTTTGAAGGGGAGACTTTTGTTTATCAACTACAAGCAGTGGATCCTGAGAGATCAGCCCTGTTTTTTACTTTAGAAGCCGGCCCTCCAGAAGCCTCCCTCTCTCCTGCTGGCCTTCTCATCTGGCAGGTCCATTCTGGAGAAGAGAAGAGTTTTGAATTCACGGTTTCTGATGAATGCAATGCTCAAAGCAGACATTCAGTGCAGGTAGGAAGGAAGGAAAGAGATCTACAATCCTTCAAAAAGTAGTTTGTCAGCCCTTGGGTAATCCAATATAATTAATAATGTGTTACTGTCTTTAAACAGCTTAGGACTTCTTCTGTTTTCAAATGAGTGAACATTATCATTCATGACAGTAATGATGAATTAATCTAATAAATATCCTGGAGAAAGTGAATCCCGTATATTCAATGAATCATAAAGGGGTCTCTATTGATTACTGTCCAGAAGACCACTTTTTTGCCAAGCTGGTTAATGGTTCATTAATCTGCTTCAGAACTTGTTGTGTGCATGTGGATCTTTGAAGAAAAACACATGATGACATAAAGGACCAGCCATAAAAGGAAAATTATAATTCATTTGCAACAATATTTTTATAGGAGTTTTCCCCGAGTCTTATACCATTACTCCATAATCTTGGTTTCTTGGCCATGCTTTCCTGCTTTGTCTTTATAGCAAGCTGTTCTATTAATTTTGCAGCAGCATTTGCTAATAATGCAAATGCACAGGAGGAACAAATGTACAGCTAAAAGAGGCTGGCTCATATGGATAATTGCTAAGGGAATTGTTTAAAATAAATGTTAACTCAGATCACTAGATATACAATTTATACAGAACCTGGAGGTATTAGCAACAAAGCCCCTAGGAGTTAGATTCATTGAGCAGTCAAGACCAATGTATACATTATGCTAAGTAACCAGTTGCTTTTAAAAATGGCAAATGCAAAATTGGTCCTTTTTCCTTGGTGATGTTCAGTGATATCTTTATATCAGGATGCTTCATGTTTATTGACAGTCAATTACAGAAGGGAGGGGGAGGTAGAACATAATAGCATTAGAATATTGTTAAAAGTTCTATTAGATATTAGAAAGGAAAAAGATGAATGAACACATCTGGTTTTCAAGTGGTAGCTAGGCATTTATCATGTGTCTGTGTTCTGTTTCTCATCATCTATGAATATTGGGAAGTTCTTCTGGTATCTTTCAGGGAATAAATGTTAGTATTGTTACTGTTACATTTTGAGCCACAAATCACTCTTACCTACATCATTACATGGGAACTTCAATAAGTAGCCTTATTGTAAAAGTAATAAAATGCATGCTTTGTTGCCTTTTGTAGATTTCAGTGAAGCCTTGTGGCTGCTTGAATGGTGGAACTTGCATCACCAACATTAACTTCCCTCCTGGTGTTGGGGAATATCTGTGCATATGTCCCAGTGAATTTGAAGGGGACCATTGCCAAAGCAGCCATAATCATTGCAAATCAAATCCATGTGGTATTGGTTCTTGTACTGGTGGAATAGACAGCTACAAGTGCAAATGTCCAGCAGGTTGGAAAGGTGAGTTGTGTCTATAATCTCCTCTTTTCATATTTAATTTTGGCACAATTATATGTAGTGTTGTTCAAAATAAAAATGGGGAATCATCATTTTATCAGGGCAGAAATATTCTTTTGATAAAGGCATTGGTCCCTAGCCAAAAAAAAGCAAGGCAAGGCAAGCATTAGATGGCAGCTGTTTGTAAATGGAAGACTAAAAATGATAAGCTGATGTTATTTCAAGAGAGAAAAAGAAAAAGTTTACCACCAATCAATATAAGTCACAGTATGGCGCATTTGATTTTAGCTTAGTGTGTTTTGTGGATGCAACTACTGTGTTTTGCAAACTATTTATAGTTTAAAACGGTATAAACCTACTTGACCTATATATATATATATATTTCCATCCATCCATCCTGTTTGTGAAATCCAATTCTTTGCCAAACATTAACACTAGAACTTCCATCTGCCATAGTATAGGGTAGAATAATGTTAACTCATACTCAGTATCTTTATTTGTCTTCAGAACGTGTTTAGGATAAGTAGAAATAAGGACAACCAAGAGTTCCTATGCTCTTTTGGAGGAGAAAAACTAAAATAGTAACATGGTACTGAAATTGGGGTTATGTTAGGTGCCAGGTTACAGGCCTGACACAAATGGAACCCAAGACTGATGCTGTACAGTAATAGCAGAGTGGTTATCAAAGATCTAATAATAGTAATACTAATTAGTAATACTAACAATAGTACATTGGCACAATATTTTTTCCTATTCTGCTCCTACAAGCTGGGAACCACCTAGTTCACAATTCTAAAAGCAGTTAGTTCAAGTCAAAGTATAATGAGAATCAAATCCTGTGAGATTGTGTGAAGTATCTGTCTGCAGTATTTTTTAAAAAACACATCCCTATTTCCCCATAAACTTAAATTGCTTTCTGACATTTTCATGGGATGCTAGTCTGCTAATTTTGTTTTCTTTATCCACATGAACATAGTGATAAGATATTGCCTGCTAAGAAAAAAAGAAAGACACCTGCTTCAATTACTCTCCCTTTTCTAGTTCATTTAAATAAAATATTCATTGTTTCAGCAGCTGCTTCCTAAGCTGAAAATAGCAAACATGAGGAAAATGGGGGGAGGAATAAAGAAATGATGGAGAGGCATTCCTATTTCATTCAGTATTTTAATAGCAGGTGAAAAATTATATGCAAGTGGAGTTGAAAACCAGCTGAGAAGTAGATGATTTTACTTCAGGGCAGATTCTGTTACAGCAATAAAGCTTCTTGAAGTCGTGTTTGTCTCAATTCCCCAGAAAACCATCAATAATCTAATGAACAGGTAACACTGCACTGCTCAAGTGACAAGACCATTATGGCATCACACCTTTACAAATGATAGCAAACAGATAGTAGTAACAAAACACTTGCTCTTCAGAGATCACTTTAAATATCCCTAGAGAAGCTCATTACTAAAAGTGCAGGAAGCACTGTTGTGCATGCAAAACTACCACTGCATTCTAAATCCCATTTTGCTGTCACTGACAGGATGATAGTAATTACAGATGTGCACAGGAGGAACAAGGAGAAGGCAGGGATTAAAAAATGAGCAGGAGTGATGGAAATATCTACACAGAATGCAGGCCCAGAGTGCATCTTCTGTGGTTTAAACTTCCCAAAACAGGTGCTCCTGTTGGGACCTCATTGCAAATCTATTGTTGGATATTCAAAGTATTTAGTGCATATGCTTGTTGCTATGGGTCCTTTCTGAACAGGAGGCAGTAGCAAAACACAAATGCACATGTAAAGTACAAGCTTCAGAGTGAACCATGTTTATCAAAACATTTCTTCACTTTGGAAAAAGCACACACAATTCAATGCTATATGTTGATTGAGAAAGCATTTGTGACCAAAAGAGCACGTGCATTTTCACAGCTGGGGAGAGAAATGTGCCTATTGCAAAAGTATACTAATTTTAGATCAGCTGGCCATAGACAATTAGAGACTAGTTGTCCTTATTTATTTGCATCAAGTCTGACAATGTGTTAACATAAACAATTGAATATATGTTCCAGCAAAAGGATTATAAGATCAGTATCCTGAAGATTTATCTCAGTTTGGTTTTTTTAATGAAACTATCACACGGGACAATAAAGAGAATCCTTGCTAAGATTGATTTGTTTTTTGACCTACACTACGTATGTAAATGATCTTCTTATGATTAACTTTTCTGTAGCCAGACTGCTTCATTTTTATTACTGACTTGCATTTTCTTCATCTGTATCTGTGTTTGGAAGGGCTGGGAACCCAAAATGAGGATGGATTAATTCAACATTTAAGACTTCCACTTCAACACTTGACCACTCTAATTATATGTACCAAGAAACTTTTTTTTACAGTTTTCAACCTAGTAGTACTGTATACACACTGGTTTTTATCTGCTCAGCTGTGTCCAGAAAATAGTTCTAGCATATTTGTTGTTATTTTTTTCCCTATTGTTATAAATATTTTAGATTCCTCGACTAAGTCTTAATGTTAGAAACATGATATTAATCAGTTCTATGTTGTTCACATTTTCCTATATGGAACTGTCTGTCTCAGTACCTGTTTTAGCATATCTGCATTTCATAATCTTGTTTCCTAAAGACTCTAAAATCGGGCACCTGTATATTTTGGGGGTTTTAAGTTGTTTCCCTGAAGCATTCCTTTATACATTATTGCTGCCTTCTGGGTTAAAAAGAGGTATACTTACTCATATGACCTGGCTTGCTATCATTTTCTGCTCTTCCTAGTAAAGCTCAGTAAGTTTTTGGCAATTTTTATAACTTTTTGTCTTCTGAGAACATTGTTAAAACTTCCTTTTGGACTAAAAGCCTGAAGTTCTTTGACTTATCTTTTAGAAAAAATATTGTGGGAGATAATAGATAAAATTGAAGAGATTCTTTTAGTACTAGGTTAAATTCATCCATTGTTCCTGAGATTTTTATTCACCAAAGATGTGGGGGGAAAGGATTCCTTTTTCATGTAATGAAATTAGACATAAAAAATTGGATGTCTTAATAAATCTTCCTCTTCAAATATTTTCTACCCAGAAATATTCCACATTGTCCAAGAACAAAGCAGTCCTTTCCACTATGCTCATGCTGTTTTTCCTAATATTTACCTACAACTTAGAATATGCCCTATGCTGTTCATTTAGTTGTTTAATGTTCATCATGGGAAAAGTGCACACTGCAGTTGATATTTTGACTGAATCCCCACTGGACTTGAGAATGTAATATAATAGTCCATCTTGAGATATCAGGCTCAGTAGGAAAATATTTGATGGGCTCAGAAAGATATTTTCATATTCCTTCAGTCCTCTTAATTATCTCACTGTCCCTCACTGAAACAGCAATCTGTTCAGAAACTGTTCAGTGTTTCTCTACCATACAACTATATGCAAAAGGTAGTGTTTCTTTGTGTGTGTTTTAACATAAAGGGAAATAAAAATAGAATGTGCTCAAAGTTTTTACATAATTCTGAGAGCTGGTAGAAGGAGAACCAGAATTAACCCTCTCTGCTTGTAAGAATCAATGGTTTTCAGACAGTGGAATATATATTAAATATATCATTGGAAATAATGTTAATTATGTAGTGTATTCAAATACAGACTTCTAATACTACATTCCTATTGGTTAGTTAACACAGTGTATTGATTAGTTAAAAATAACAGGTTCCGATTGGCCGCATAAGTGGTGGGAAGTTTAAACACATGCCATTGGTTGAGAGCTGTGAGCAGCCTCTATAAAAAGGGCTGCCGCGGCTCGACTTCAGTTGAAGTTATTGGTTGCTAATAAAGAGCTGAATTCAACTCCGTTATTCGAGTCTGCTTTGTTCTGGTGATAGAACACTGGTGACAAAGGTGGGATCGAAGGAAAGACCGTAAGCACGTGGCAATGATAGCCGAACGACCAATGAGATGGCCGGCAACAATTTGCCACCCTCACTGTTCAACCCAGCCGAAGAAGACTGGGAGTCATACATAGATAGGTTCCTGATGTTTTTGGAAAGCAATGAACTGCAAGGAATCACTGACCAGAGGAAGAGAGCCGTATTCCTGACGCATAGCGACCCGACTATTTTTAAAATGGCCAAGGCATTAGCAAGACCAAATGATGTTAAACAGATGGAAAGGCAAACCGGAAGTCGCTGGAACCGAGATCATAGAAATCAATGGCTCAACGAGAAGGAAGAGACACATCAGACAATCACTATTGGGACGGCTAGAACAACAAATACTAAGAAGGTTCGAGTCAACGTCCTGATAGAAGGTGAGCCATGTGAAATGGAAATAGACTCCGGTTCGTATTTATCAATAGTATCATGGAACACAATAAAAAATTTGATACCAGACATAAAATGTAGAGAACTTGAAGAGCAAAGCCTGATCATCAAAGACTACCAGGGTAACAAGATACCAGTAGTAGGACTGGGACACTTCAAAGTAAAATTTAAAAAGCACACCGAGATTCTTCCATTAACCATCGTTGACAGAGATCACCCCAGCCTGCTTGGTTTAGAATGGTTCGAACCACTCGGAATCGAAGTGACAGGAATCACCATGTTGGACTGGGAGAAAGACCTGATGAAGGAATTCCATGACGTGTTCGACAGGACTCTAGGCAAGTACCATGGGACCCCTATATCGTTTAGTTTAAACCCAAACGTAGCCCCTATCAGGCTCAAAGCCAGACGGGTACCATTTGCGCTAAGACCTAAAATTGATGAGCAACTAAACAAGCTCATCGCTCAAGGGGTATTAGAACCAACCGACCATGCCAGATGGGAAACCCCGATTGGGACCCCTATAAAACCTGATGGGTCCATGTGCATCTGTGGTGACTATAAGGCCACCCTGAACCATGCATTGCAACAGAGTGCATATCCT